CGGGGGCGCGCGCGGGGTCGCTCGTCCCCTCAGGGCGGCTCGGCCTCGCCGATCGTTTATTTGTGCTTTCATTAAAAAATGCTGTTCTGTTGTTAAGGTTATCCCCTCGGAGGATACGGTGTGACGTTTCATTTCCAACACAATATTAAAATACCGTAATGCTTTTTCAGTGATAAGAAGTTTTAAACTTGACAAGCAAATAACAGAAAATTCTGATGCACTGAGGAAACACTGAAAACTCGTAACGTCAGATTTACCTGTTGCTGCCCTTTCTCGTCCTCCAATAGCAAAGGAAACCAGTGGAATTACTTCTCGAAGGGAGCAGAGCGTTATTCCATGAAGCCAATTAAATGAGCTATAAATCCCAGGCAATATTTCTATAGACGTTGCGTCCCTCCGCTGAATTCCCCGCGTACGTCCCGCCTGCGGCGTTCGGCGACAGAGCAGTCTCTGGTCTTTCCTTTGCGGCCGAACGGAATAGAACCGGACTAAGTCGCAGAATTTTAATACCGTGAGAAAAAGAGAGAGAACCTGAAGAAGGGTACGGATTTAACACCCGCTGGAGGTGCCAGAAGAACGTTCACTGACTTGCAGTTAGCACAGGCGTTCACAGGACAAGGTTAATATTCTGAAGAACAGAGACCTTAATCTTCTCCAGGGCACTAAGGATGACCTTTATATAAGTTGCCTATATATATGTATATTGCCTTTAGTGCAAGCATTTGATACCAAACTCTATTTTTATCATATTTATCAAAAACTTCCAAGATTCTGCTGTTTTTCCCATGTATTTCAGTCTACCTAAGTGGAAAATACCCCGCGAAGCCTGCAACGTTTCCCCTGGGGTCAGCTGGGACACAAAGATCCAACGCGCCTTGTGTTCGCTGCCGAATTGCTGGAGATGGCATTTTGCAAGCTCGTGACCGTCTGCTCCAAGAAGCGGTAGCTCCTCCAGCAAGTTAAATTACTTTCTTGAGTCACCTTGCTGAGTCACTCTGATATCTTGAGATGCAGGTTTTGGTCTGATCTTCCAGACAGAAGTTGTTAACCTAAGTGCCATGATGTCTAATGATTAAAAGATTGAGACTCTGACCCATTAATTTTGAAAGAACTAAGGAGGGCTCTCATTTATTGTGTTTTATCTTAACAACAGCATAACTTGATGCACAGACATCTTCTAAAACAAAGATCCCCACCCAAACCCCTCCTCTCCAAAAAAGAAAGAACAAAATGACAGCAGCGTTCATCATATCTAATAAACTGTTCGACACCTGGAAAAGAGTGAAAAAATACAATCTTCTGCCTTTGAATTTACGGCGAGATAGAAAATGACCATAGGAACAGAGCTTCCAAAAATAAAGTTCAGAAGCATGTTGTCAGCTGAAAGGCTTTTTCCACCCTTCAAATCACTTTAAGAGAATGTATTTCTGATTGCTTCCAGCTTTTAATTAAATAACTGTTTTTAACAGGATGAAGTAAAATCACTACTTTTAGTAAAAAGTTGTACATCCTAGTTAGATACAAAATACAGATTGTATGTTTTACGATGTAATTTTTTTTTCATGGCCTTTTATTTCTTTAGATAAATAGGACGAGAGTCTCACCTCCTGGCGTTCCAAACAGCACGTCCGCCATTTACAGCAACCGAGGAGCTGGACTCTAATCTTTTATGATACCAAAAGAACTCCTGAGTCAATCATTTATTAACGTTCAGCTAACCAAGAAGTAAATCTCCATGTCTGTCCCTGTCCCTGACGGACACTGGGGGAGTTAATAATCCTTTCGCTCTCATTCCCAGTTCCCGTCACTGCTCTTTGACTCCCATCTCCTCTGGCAGTGGCGAATGCGGAAAAATCAGCTCTCTGGTGATTGAAAGTGATACAGTCTTGACATCCCGCGTCCGAGAAGTGTCATAAGCTTGATTTCTGATAACACTTCACTTAATTCAGAACGGACAGCCACTCCATCGAAGAGCTAAAAGTATTGTTATTCGTACCGAGCGTGTTCTGCTCCTGAAGTTCACACCCGACCTTTTTCATGGTCAGACTTTGCTTGCTACCGGGTAGATGTAACAAGGGTTCTCGGAGTTAAGTGCACCGTATTTTAGGCGAGCGCAGCTTGCAGAGAGACTCAGGCCAAGATGGTTTTCTCTTCAAGACCTGGTCTTCCATGGAGGATTTCAGGTTTCATTCATCATTTAATTTAGATGAAATAAACTATCAGGCTAGGGCTTTTTTTCTTTAACAGATCTTCCTGGCTAACCTAACTAGATTAATCCTGCTAAAACCCGAAGAACCTTCTTGCTGGTTTATTGACCGATTCGCTCTGCGTGCCATTAGCCTTCCGAATAGGGAAGCGACCGCATTTTGCAAATGGAATGTATAAAACTCTTTATAGTGTACAGATAGTCCTTGTTAATGCGAAGTCATCCGTTTGTTACACAAATAGACACTAAGATTCTGATTTTTCTCCCAAACTGAGTATAGTCTTTTAACGTCTTAGGGCTGGTAGTTGGAAGCTGTTAGAAGCGGTGAAAACTGGACGATGCTAAGAAGGTTGATCTTCACTACTTTTGTCCGGGGAGGCTTTCTGCAGATAACCAGAATGCTTTGGGAAAAATGCCGATTTATTACTTCATAGCCAGCTAAGCTTTCAAACATGAGATCGCATTTTTTTCTTCATGAGAATGAACTTATCTCTCAGTCCTAAACACGGGTATCTGCATTCTTCATAAACAGGGCGTTCAGAAAAGGTATTGGAACAGGAAATTTAATCCTGCTTTATGATAATTCAAGTCTGTATTTATTTATTAATATCAATCTGTGTGTCTTTTAAATTCCTGATATAGTGAATAGGATTTCTTAGATATGGCTCTGAGCATTATTTAGCGGTTGCTTGCCATGGGAAGACAGCAGGAAAAATCACTTTCTTCATTTTGTTACTTCTGAAAACTCCGTGTAAAAACATTTGTAAGTGAAGACCTTTCATTCCTGGAGCTGGGGCCAGAACACGAAGGTTGGGATTGGCTCAGGGAGGCCCGAGGACGTCCCTGACCTATCTTCTTACGTGAGGGTGGGAGCGCTGGCCGGGCAGCGCAGGATCGATGGCCCCGCAGGCAGGGCACGGGCGCAGCGGCACCGCGGGAGGCAGCTCGCTTGCTCCATTTTTAATATTGTGTTCTGCTGAAGCATCTCCGGCAAAACCCTGCCAATGAAGTGATATATCGGAGCCGACGGCTTCCTCGTTTACCCCCGCTGCGCGAAATTCATATAGGAATAGCTTGTAGATACGGTAATGATGTAGGGGTACTTATAGCAAATGAACTGTGAAGTGTGGCAGAAGACACTTTTGAGCAAAGCTAGTAACAGTAATTATTGCAGCTTGTGTCTCGGGAATCGCCATTCATAACGATAAAGATTGCTGAATCCTGCCTGTAAGAGCTCTGAAATACCTACGGGTGACAGCCGTGCGGTGGCTGCACCGCTCCGTGGCTGTAACGGGAGAGGCCTGTGCAAAGCGCCTTTCCAGGAGATGGGAAAAGACGCAATTATGGTCCAGATTTTCTGGATCTGATCCACGTTCGTAGGCAATTCTCAATATCGCTACTTCACAGAAGCAAGAGTTATTGTCTGTGGCTTTCAAACCCAATCTGCGGAGAGACGTAGCAGTGATTTAACATATTTAATAGAGAACTAACTGCGAGCAGGCTGCTCCTGCATCAACAGTCCTACTGAAATCAGCCTCCTAGAAGGTCGCGCAATAATTCCCATGAGTAATAGTTACTTAAATGAATAAGGTTTTCCAGGGTCAGAAACAGACACTAGATCATTGAAGAGCCACGTTTTTTTTTCTGTGATATTACTGGAACTCATGAATTAGGACATGGTTTGGAGGTGACAGCAACATTAGATAGGAACTATTAGAGTGATCATCCACTTCGAAAAAAGTGATTCATTGCAGTGATGTCAAAGAGAAGTAAAACTGCCCTAATTATCCACAACAATGTGGAGAACAAAGCAGCAAAACCTCCTCAGAAGTCAGAGCATATAGTGTTTTACCTCAGTCAGACCTGGGAAAGCATAAATCAGATTCGCAGGGCTGGCCCAGGAGGGAGCCGGCTGGGCTGCAGCCTCCTCAGCGCTGCTCGGGGCCTGCGCTAACGGAGCCGTGTTCCAACCTAAATCCCGCTTCCCCTTTGCCTGCTGACGAAATACCCTGCTGGTGATGGGCTCCTCCCCGTCTTTCCCATTTTCTGGAGAACGCAGACCTCCCGCAAAGCTGCGCTGTCACAGACCAGCGCAGGCCGACTGCCGCCCTTCCTCTTCTCTGACGTCCTTCGCAGCAGCAGAGGCACCTGGACACTATTCCAGACCTTTCGTCTGACGTCCTGCAGGGCCGTTAGAGGGAAAAACAAGGGCAGCGAGTAGAGGACTTTGTGGATGCCCCCAAGAAATCAGCCCGATTACTTCTGACTTCATGGCCAGCTGCCTCCTCAAACTCTCTATCGGTTTTTCCCCTGTTGAAGAGCCAGAGTAAATTTAGAAAGATACAATCAAGGTGGGAAATCCTGGCAGATCGAAAACCGTGCTAGTGCCATGACACCGCCGACAGAGAAGATGTTCTTTAAGAGCTGGGTGTTAGTTCACGTGAAATTTAACATCACAAATTTCGGAGGGCTGGTCCGTCGAGCGGCTTGAAGAACGAGCTTAGCCAGGTATAGCACCTATGAAAAATTGCAAACCATTGCTTTCTAATTTTAAAATAGGAAATGTCTAGAGAAAATAGCCTGCTGGGGTTTTTTGACTCACACTCTCATTTATCCCGTTTTTTGGAAAAAGCCCTTTAAGTGGCCGGAGGATTGTAAATGAAATATTGCCGATGAAGCTCAATCGTTGCCATGGCAACCTTGTGGTTGCGGTTGTGTCACAAGAAAAGTAGA